TTTTTTTTGACTTTATGACACCAAATAATAATCGAGAAGTGATTCATAGCCCGAATTACGCTTGTACGACCATTATTTGACTTCATTGCGGCTACATTTGGGTAATTCCTCGCTCCGTCGGTACATGCACGCGATCTATTAACTCAGATTAAAGTAAGTTTTCCAATTTTTTGTGACTTTCTGACACCAAATACTAGTCGAGAAGTGATTAGCAGTCCGAATTATTCATGTAGGACCATTATTTGACTTCATTGCGGCTACATTTGGGTAATTAGTCGGACCGAAGGACAGGTGAGAGGTGAGCGTGTGCGTCTCCAGGAAGCTGCTACCTGTTAACAATAATAATGGTGATATTTATTCAACAAATCAGCATGTATATACACAATGAAGGTGTATATACACAGTGCAGGTGTATATTTCAGCATGTATAGACAATGTAGGTGTACATTTCAGCATGTATAGACAATGCAGGTATACAAAATCATTAGTTGCTAAAATTCCAGGTATTACGAGCATTATATTAATTTATAAGTATGTACGGTATGTATGTATGTGTGTATCTGTATGTATGTAAAAAGACCTACAGCACCTAACCTACCCTGCCTAAGCTAATCTACGCTACTTAACCTATTCCACCCTACTGTACCCTACCCTACAGCGGGTGAGCATTGACGGCACTAAACCCGATTGGAGTAATGTAACTAGTGGAGTACCCCAAGGCTCAGTACTTGGACCATTATTATTTATTATACAGTACAGTGTAGTCTGCATTTACGCGGTTAATTGAACCCGTGGAGGTCCTCGTAAATGAAATAACAGAACATATAGGATTAATTGAAATAGAGACTGGGCCGACCCCCAAACTACACTTTTTCCGACGCAATTCGTACCTTGTAGTAAAAATAACATCTTAATTTTATGATGGTATGCACACACAATTAATATTTAAGAGAAATATCAATAATATTAGGGTTTAACACTTACGTTAGTAGAAAAGATGGCTGGGCACACGGGGATGGGGGGTTGGTTCCGAGGCAGAGTGCAGATTATTGGCCCTCACCTGTATCACTATCCACCACAGACGCTTGCAGGGCCTCTTTGTCAAACCCCTCAAAGTCCATATCCTCACTATCACTGACTTGGGCCGGTTGTGGTGGGTGACGGGTGAAGAACTCGGTAATGTTTTGATGACTGGGCGACCTTGTGCGCACCCTGCCCACGCTGCTTCCCGCGTAAATGATGAAATTTACCTCATAATTAAAACATTTCATTGTGGCAAGGCACCGCGTAAATCCAGACTATACTGTAGAATGTCGATTTAACGCGAGATACGTTCCAAGAGAGGTCGCTTTAAACCTAATTCGCACTAAATCCAAGTGTTGTTTCAATGGTATAATTTAGTTTGGTACTTGAGAGAAACACAAAATACTAACAGACTTTTATTAACTAGTAAATATGAGAAAAATATATGGTGTAATGATATATATTTAATATTTTGTGACTTCTATTACTGGTATGTATACTTTTTCTCTGAGTTGGAACCAATTACCCAATATCCCATTGAAATGATAGATTTGGTTAACGAAATTTTCGGTCGACGAATGACTGTGGAACCAATTGTGTTCGTTAATCGAGGGACCACTGTATTTGTCATGCTTCAAAATTCAAGCAAAATTTCTTCCACAGATCCAACACCACAATGCCATCAGATGCCAAGAAGAAGAGGGAACAGAAGAAGAGAGATGCAGCAAAGGCTAAACAAGCTGACAAGAAAACAGAGACAAGGAACGAAAAGGAGGTACAGTATGGATGTTATTTTCACTGCAGGAGTACTTCCTGTGTGTACAGTATTGTACTATACCTTGTAATTTACTCAGTCCAAGTTCATGAATTACCAATTTTTGGTAAGCTGAAAGAATATAATGACCATGAATAAAAATTTGCAGCAAATTTTGTTTAGTGAATCAAAAGTTTGGAATGGGCAGTGAAAGATGCATACTGTAGTTTGAAATTTAAAGTACTGTATTGTACTATAATAGTATCTGTACAGTACCAGTAGCTACAGTAACTCGTTTGTAATCTGATGAGGGTAGGTCGTCTAAAAATACAAATACAGCCACTCCACAATTGATCACTTATGTAAAGCAAGTGTTTAATGATATTAATAAAGATAGAATTTTATTATATACCATACACTGGTGAATTTTTAAACAAATATATGGATGAGTAACAGGAAAATAATTAATTTTTGTAGATGTTTATAATATTGACAATGCTGTACTGTACACAGTAATTTAAAAAGAATCACATATTACTTTTATAAGGTATTTGTTAACTTGAAATTCTTGGTATGTCTTGTACTGTACTCCAGAGGTAAAAGTTTCCGTGCATGCACGGAGGTACAGTATTCCTAGTGTTAACTTAAAAGATCCGGGGATTTGTCATATTTTCCTATGAAGATTAAAACAATGCAACAAAAAAATAGCCAAGCTTCACAATTATACAACGTGCAGCTAATTGTCACCTTGCTTTGAGATGGTGCAATATATGGAGATGTTCCCAAATACTTGGGTCAGGAGTTATTCTAATTGATACCTGATTGATATAAATAAGGATAATAGGAGCAGAGAAAGAGCTCCCCAGTGTGGTGTATGTGCCAACAGGTGTGGAACACCTTAAAAGTTTGTAGTGGTCCCAGTATGAGTGAAGAAATATTAGTTATTGCAGAGTTTTAGGAAGCCTTCTTATATTTAATAATCCTTATGTTTTTACAGCCTCAGGAAAATGGGAGTTCAAATAACTCCAAGAAGAACTCTCGTGAAACAACACCAATGACGAACGGCAGCACAAATGGCAGTGAAAAACTTAGTGCTGAAGGTCAGTTCTTATTTATTATGCAGGTAGATTTTTCCAAACCACATCCCTCTTAATACAGGATGGCTAGAATTAAATGCATATACACTTTCTTCATTTGTTATCATTCTTTCCTAATTAATCCATATAAGGCTTCATTTTGTTGCTTCAGATACACTTTCCTCTTACATATATTATCCTTGCTTTGTACCTGTACATTAATGTGGAAGATTATTCTCCCTGAGGTATTCCCGAACTCTGGGTCCAAACACCTCAATCACCTACTCAGAGAATAAACTCCTGGTCACCCAAGCCCTTGGGTTTGACCGCCACATAACACCAAGGCGGGTCTTCCTAATGTTTTTGAAAGCTCTTGGGTTTTCTGCATGGTACACAAGGAGTGGCTTTATTTTGCAGTCACCAGAAGCATTGGCACAAAGAAGGAGGGTAAGCCTGTCTTTCATTGGCTTATGGCCAGGGACAGAAGTTTCCTCCCTGGTAATGTATGTACGGCGAGGCATTTTTTTTCCAAATAAGTCCAGTTTCATCACAGTTGAATACCTGCTGAGAAACAAAGCCTTCCTCTTTAATCACATTCACAAAAATTTCATGGTGTTCCTTAGCTGCTTACTTATCTGCACTAGCAGCATCATCATGTCTCACAACACTATGTAATTTATTTCTCCTTCTGAAACCAGTAAACCACCCCTTGGTACCCCTAAACACTGGCACATCACTATCACTTGCACTGGGAGTTTTGTCTTTAAGGTCCTCAAACAATTGTCTGGCCTTCTCACAAATTATAGCTTCACTAATGCTATCACCTGCCATTTCTTTCTCCTTTATCCACACTAAGAGTAAATTTTCCGTCTCCTCAATCACATTACACCTTGCTTTGCTAAGTCTAGAGATTCCCTTAGCCACTTGCACAGTTTTCAACTCCTCTTTATTCTTCAAAATCGTACATATAGTCGATTTAGCCATCCCATACTCATCACTAAGTTTCACAATGCTTGTTCCATTCTCACGTTTCTTTATGATTTCTTTCTTAGTTTCAAGAGTTATGAGCTTTCTCACTCGCTTTGGACGATTCATTGTTACAATTGTACACTTGTATAACAAAATATTTATACAAATAACTCTATTTCCACATCAAAAGACGAAATTTCAACAATAACAGTGGTGCGCTGGCTACACAATGAGACAAAGATGGCACCTGACGTTCTTGTTGTGGGTCGCGGTACAACAATATTCATGCACCAGACGAAATAGTCCCATATTCATCCGCGTTCGTTGTAGGAGTTGCGTTCGTTATAGCATTCTCAATTTTATAGGTAAAACCGTTCGTTATAGGAATATTCGTAGTAGGATCCGTTCGTTATAGCATACCCCACAACAAACACTCCCTGCTGTGGAGTTGAGAGTTGGACGGTACTGATACTGCGTAGTACTGTTTGCTGCCTCGGGCCACTGACTGAGAGTACACACCCAGGTGCACCTCAGCCCATCTCCTAGAATAAACAAAACATTGTTTTTTATAGGCTGTAGTATTATGCTGAAACAAACACTCATAAATCAACACAGCTAAAATTACTGGATGTGAAATGGTCTGTTTACTAGTAATCAGCTGATGGAGGAAGGTGGTGCCATCCGCCTCTCGTGTGACTCACTTTCCTCTCAACTTATATTTTAATTACTTTATGATATCAAAAATGGATTTTCAATCAACTTTAGTCAGGTAATTCATCCTCTGAGGATGTAGAGCCCAACTAGACGAGCTCATCATCCACATCACTGTCTAGTGGTGTGGCTGTTGACACGCGAGAAGCACTGGATGACGGCCGTGTCTGCCCAGACGTAGATGGGCCAGCTACCTCAGGAGCTGAAGGAATGGAATACATTCATTAAATTATTGAATTTCTACCACATAATTATTACATATCGTACACCCAAAATTTAATTTTTATTTTTCCGAGCAATAAACACTCGGTTTCATAACAAACTCGCCCGATGAGGATAATGGACGGAATAATGCGGTGATTTTCTTCTGTTGCTGGACCATAATCAGTTGATCTAGCAGCTGAAAGTACGTAGATACAGCCCGATTCAATGCCTCCACCACTGGCATACTGCATTCCATATCAGGGTCATGTGGTGGCAGAAGTGACGTGCTGCATAAACTCCCTCATCTTAGGAATTGTCAGTTCCTTTCCCACTGTTTGGGGCTTATCTGTTGCTTCCTCTTCTTCCTCATGTTTCTCCATCATCTCCAAGACTTCTTCAGAAGTGAGAGGATCCCCCAGGCTAACAAGTAGTTCAGTAAAATCCTCTTCTTGGATTTCTTGAAATCCTGAATCACCTATCACTTCCTTAATGAGGTTCATGATGTCTTTCATGTCCTTGCCTTCATCAAAGCCCTTGAAATCATGGACTACCTCAGGCCACAGATTACGCCACACTCCATTTAGTGCAGTTTCTGGCACGCTTTTCCATGCAAGTGTGATGTTAATTATGTCATCTTTGATGGTGTAGCTCTTCCAAAACGTTGCTGCCGTCATACTGTTGTCCTTGTTCATAGCTTCAGCCATTTGCCTCATGGTATTCTTGAGATAATATCTCTTGAACAAGACAATAACACCTTGATCTAGTGGCCAAATAAGTGAAGTCACGTTCGGAGGGAAGGTCAAGTTTACGTCATTATTCACACTGCACGGGTGTTTGGAGTGGCTAGATGTGTTGACCATGAGAACCAAGGCCTTGTTGCTAAGGTTCGGTTTTTTGTTAACATTTTTGATGAATGGGGCGGCATGGCTCATGTCCCACTCATAGAAAATATCAGAAGTCATCCACGCCTTGTTTGATCTCTAAATTACAGGAAGTTTCGGAATGTGCACATTTTTCAAGGCACGAGGTCTAGACGAGTGGTGGATGACGAGTGGCTTCATTCGTGCGGTGCCCGATGCGTTGGCAACGAGGAGAATCGTCAGTCTGTCCTTGCTGACCTTAAACCCTGGTGCTTTTTCTTCACTCTTCATTAGATAGGTTTTCTTGGGCATTCTTTTCAAATACAGTCCAGTTTCATCACAATTCCACACTTGGCAAGGAGAATAACCATTTCCTAACACTGCTGTATACATAAGCAACATAGATATCGGCATAGACAGCAACATAAGTAAATATGCTGATGACACTAAAATAGGGAGTGTAATTAAATCTGACGAGGACTCCGCAAAACTTCAGGAAGATCTAAACAAATTTTCGAATGGTCTGAAAAATGGCCGATGAAATTCAATGTGGATAAATGTAAAGTACTCAGTTTAGGAGATGTAAACAGGGAAACCAGATACCTGATGAACATCGATGTTATTGAGAAATCCGACTGCGAGAGAAATTTAGGAGTACTGTAATGTTAAGTAGGAATCTTAAGCCAAGTAAACAATGTGTATTTGCTTGAAACAAGGCTAATAAAGTACTTGGGTTCATACAAAGGAGTGTTAGTTACAAGACTACCCGCGTTTCAGTGTAAAGTGCCGTAATAATAAATGGTAAACAATTTGCCTTCTGCGCTCAGTTTTTCGGGCACAGTGACCCTCAGTTTATAGGACATACAATGTTTTTAGTGAAGGTTTTCTGAAATGAGTTTTATATGCCATAAAATATGGTCCTTTATTACCCTAATTTGTTGTTCCATTACCCTCAAAAACTTGGGTCGACCAATAAACAAGGCATATCATAAATTAATGATTTCCTGGTCAAAAATCAAGGTCGACCTATACACGAGCTAGAATTATAGACGAGCTAGAATTATAGACGAGTATATCGGTACAGTATTTCAAATTGAAGGAAATAGATAAATAAATAAAAAAAATTAAGGATCTTTTTCCTTAACCCGAGCCATTTACAGTGACCCCTCGTTTAACGAACACCTCGGTTAACGTAATTTCGATTAACGAACTGCCTTCCATAAGGATCTTCAGTTCGGTTAACGAAAAAAAATTCGGTTAACGAAGTTCTTACGAACCGACCTCAACATGTTTTCGCTTGCACTGACCGGGCAACCAGCTTTAGTATCAGTCTGCCAATACATTAATTGGTTCTAGGGCTTAAATTCCTTACTATTTTAGTAAATATCAAGAAGTTTATACTATTCAATAATTTTAAAAGTTTAATATTCAATTTTTTAGTCATTTTAACAATTAATTATTGAACATAACTGAAGGTAAAGTGACTAGTTTAATGCGCGGCATCCAGCCTCTTAACACAGCAAACAGGAGTTAGTCTCTCTCTGTTTTCACTGGAGGTAACATCTTGCTTGAGACTCTCTTCAACTAAATGCTTTTTTTCTGTGTTTCCAAGCAAATTATTGGTCATTTTGAAATATATTTTACATATTGACAATATATAATGCAGTGCAGTGTTGATTTAAAGAAAATAATCTTGAATTACACCAAGAGAGCTAAAATTTTATGGGTGAAATGGCGCCATGGGGTGACTTCTCTTCCACCCCAATGCCTTCTCTTTTTCCTTCTCCTCCACCCCCATTCTAAATCCCATCATCATCATCATCATCAGGAGCCTTCTACATACACACCTCAAAGTAAGTGAACTTTTCTACCATTTTTGTTGAATTTAGGAAATTTTCGGTGAGCTGGAACCAATTACCCAAAAACCCATTGAAACAATAGTTTCGGTTAACGAACTTTTCGGTTAACGAACGACCTTCTGGAACGGATTGAGTTCGTTAACGGAGGGGTCACTGTACTTTATTTCTAACGGGAAAATTAAGTTTGATTTACACGTTTTTTATTTACACGAAACTGATTTACACGTTTTTTAGTTACATGTTTTTTTATTTACAATAGCCATTATCAAGAACGTGACCATCGTGTAAATGGAGAGAACCTGTGAGTGTTACCAGAATAAAGTTATAAACTAATGTTTGTGTACGTCTGTGGCTGACGTGTTTGTGGGTGACGAGTGTAGTAAATATAAGATCAAACAATGTGTACCTTGGTGGATGTTTAAATAAGGTCGGGTGATGAATGGTTGAATAAGGTCGGGTGATGAATGGTTGAATAAGGTCGGGTGATGAATGGTTAAATAAGGTCTGGTGATTAGGTTGTCTCATGGTGGTGCTGGACTTCAGAGAATCATTAATCGTAAGACAAAATATTGAGGAATATCTATCACGTTTTTATGATCATTTTATATTAGAAACTGATTTTGCTGAATGAAATGGGAATGGATATTGATACAGTGATACTGTACCTCTGTTAGCCGGAACAATTGGCGTACGACACCTATGGGAAAGAGAGATTTCTGGGTAACGAGACGACTCTCTCAAAGCCGGAAAAAATGCCTCATCCCTGGAATTTTCTGGAATTTTCCGGGGAATGGGAAAATTTTCTTGGAAGTTCTATAAATTACTCATTGCATCGTCTCTCGAACCCGGAAAGAAATCCCCATCCGCGGAATTTTTCCAGGTACCGGAATTTTCACTGAATTTACCAGAATGAAGCATTATCTCATCTCTCAAAGGCAGAAAACAATCCTTCAATTCCTGGAATTTTCTGGGTATTGGGAAAATTTTCTAAAAAATTTCCAGAAAATGTGGCCCTCAGAAATTCATTCCCAAAGCCAAAATTCCCAGAAAATTATAGTTTTTGGAACGATTTTCCGAGAAAATTTCAATCCGGCCACGAGAGAGTTCTTGCATATTACTGTTTAAAGCTGTTGGAAATTCTACTAATGTTCCTTCTGTTCACTTAATGATGTTATTGATGAACATATTAAACTTGTCAAAGACACATTTAATATTATGTTCAGTGATAGACATACTGTACTGTAGGGTCCAAACTTATCAGTAATAATGTTCTTAATATTGGTGGTCATAATTTAAACAAATACCGCGATGCCAGACGTAGAAATTCGGGAGTTAATTTGTTGAGTATTAATACTGGTTTTGGGGTAGATTAAATTGAAGTTAACCTAACCAAACCTAACCTAACTTAACCAAACTTAACCTTGATCTAGATGAAAATGTTATAATAGATAAAGTTTATACTAGTACAGTACTAAGTTTATGTTTTAAGGATAATAATTGGTTCTTGACTCATTAGGTCTACTCGAGTTATTATTGTTTTATAGCTTAACAAGGCAGTTGGTTTTATCTTGTCCAATACATATGTTTCATTTTGTAATACAGGCCGTCCCCGACTTACGACGGGGATGTGTTCCTGGACCCATAGTTTAGGTTAGGTTAAAGCCCATACAAAACAACAATAATATTCCATATATGTCATGGAAGCCACACATAATCAACATTGCTCAAGCTGCTTCCCGAAAGCTGGGAATGCTATACAGATGCCATAGCTACTTCACCCCTGAGCAGTTGCTTCAAGTATATGAAGGATTCATTGGTCCTAACTTGGAGTACTGCTCTCATATCTTGGGTGGCTCTTGTTCTGTCCAACTATTGATAATCTCTCTTCTCTTCACCACAATGTTGCTTCACTCTCTCTTTTACAGGTACAGTCGGCCCTTCACATACGCGGGTTTAGCATACACGGATTCGCAAGTATGCGGATTGCCCCGCCGGAGGAATATTCTGTACATTGAAGTAATTGAAGTACTGTACATTCAAATCTCGCACGGCACCGCACACCGCCAGCCATCACACACACACACACACACACACACACACACACACACACGTCACGCCGTTAGAACCACCTGACCCTACCAACAGTGTTGCAAGTCAGACAGCATTTTTTTTTTTTTTTACATTTTTGGTGTCTCCATTTGTTAATTTTTTCTGTGGGGTTTGCACAATAGTAAACTGTTTTACCTACAGTATTGTAAAACAATTTGGGAAAAGAAATACTCGGTAACTTAAGATTTTAAACGGAAAATCTTGAAACTGGCAACTGTGTGCTGAAGACGATGACAAGGAAAATTATTTTGATGGGCTTTCATGAAAATATTCAGAAATATGGTATCGTAGTATTTATTCAAGTGAATTAGGATAGAATATTATTGTAATACAACAGTTTTTTAACTGAAAACCATTCGAAAAGCGATCACGGTAAAATCTTTTGAACAACGAAAGAAAGCGAAAGTCATTGTTTTCGTCATGATTTTATCCCACTTTCCACTGTAATACGTACGTCATTTCAGCAAAAATATTATATTTCCATATTTATTTCTGAGAATATATTCATTCAGTCACAGTTAAGGTAAAATATACTTGTGATGTAATATTTTAATGAAAATACCCAGTATTTAGAAATACGGTATAGTAGTTTTCTTTTGTTTCAAATTTAATTAACAAAGATTGATGTTTCAAATGTAATGAATAAAATTTTAAGTACAGTATCTATAAATAAACTTTAAAAAAATGAATACTTTATGTTTTACATCATCCTGTGCATACCATACCATGCATTTGGCTACTTTGGGCTTGCTATGATGATGCAAGAGATCTGCCCTGGCAACTGTACCAACACTCACAGCTGGTGGTGCGTTGGTGCGTTGTTTCCATTGTTTACTGGTAAATATTTTTCAACCAAATGAAACTATTACCCGTTTAGTGGTCGACCCCCAATTTTTTGCCAAATAATTTGGTCTTAAAAACTCGAACTGCACACAGGTATATACAGTAAATAAGGACATGGGGGACCAGGGGTTTTTAGGGGGGGGGCCAGCAAAAGTACACGGATTTTTACCATTCATGGGGGTATCTGTTACCTAACCCCCGTTTATGTTAAGGGCCGACTGTACTTTAACGGGTAATGTTCGGTGGATTTGGCATCCTGTGTACCGCCGGCAAGGCCGTGGGTTCGTAACA